TCAATCTGCACAGTTTTTTTTAGGCAAGTACGATCTGCACAGATGGGCTGAACGAATGGCCGTGCTTCAATACTCGACATCCTAAAGCCTACTATAAGCCTGAAAATGCCCAAACTCCTAAGCCCAGGTACGATCCACCACGCCTCCCTGCTGCCACACTAGCGGAGCCACGGCGCGACGACGGCGCGAGCGACCAAAGCTAAACCTTCCCCAACCCCTCCCCGCCGCCGCCGCCGCCGCAGCCATGTCCCAGAAGAAGTCCCGCGGCGGCGCCGCCGCCGGGGACGACGCCGACGAGCTCTCGCGCTCGCCCCTCCAGGCCGTCCTCCTCGCCGACAGCTTCACGCTCAAGTTCCGCCCCATCACTCTCGAGCGCCCCAAGGTACCGCATCCCCCTACCCCCAAACCCTACCCCCCGGCGGCACCTGAATTGCGCTGTCCCCGCAGGTGCTGCTGCCGCTGGTGAACGTGCCGATGATCGACTACACGCTGTCCTGGCTGGAGACCTCGGGCGTGGAGGAGGTCTTTGTGTTCTGCAGTGCGCACGCGGAGCAGGTCAAGGGGCACCTGGAGGAGGCCGGCTGGACCGGCAAGCCCGCGGCCCGGGAGATGGCCGTCACGGCGGTCGAGTCGCACGACGCAATCAGCGCAGGTGACGCGCTCCGCGTCATGTATGGCCATGGCGTTGTGAGTTTCTGATCTCCATCCTTCCTGTGGATTACGAAGGACTGCAGTATTAGTTGTAGTGTCTGTTGCTGTTACTGCTTAACAATTTGTCTTGGCCGGTTGACTAGAACTGATAGTGAGCATATGTGGAACTGAAGTCTGGGGAATATTTGGGAGTGTCATTCCAGTTCATTCAAGGAAGGAAAGTAGATTTAAATTGTATAACTTCCTGCCATTCCAGGTCACTCCAGTGGCCTCCCATTTGGTACTGGTTGCCTCAATGGTGTGGACTTGGGAAATAATTACAACCGGCAAGAGATTGTGATGGATAAATGATGATATTAAATAATGTTCAGAGCAAAACCTAGCATTATTTTTTTTGTCTGATGGCTATTACCCAAAAAAGTTGTTCAAGGTTTGAACTATAACATCATACTGAACACATTAGTTCAGCTCAATGCCTCAATTTTGATATTTTTCATGCACTTAGCTCTGTGATTGCTGTGCCTGCTTAGCAATAGTATCACGTGCCCTTTTTTTGTCCTAATAGCTGTCGCTTGTGCCTCAACTATCGTAACACATACATAGCGCAGTCTTATTTTCTTGTTCTATTCTAAATTTTTCACATACTGACAGTGTGCCTGACATTTCGTTTACACTTTCAGTTGTTTCATCCATTCGTCTGTTTTATGTAGATAAATGGTGATTTTGTTCTCATCAGTGGTGATACAATCAGCAACATGAGCTTAAAAGATGCTCTCCAGGAACACAAGGACAGAAGGAAAAAGGATCCACTTGCTGTTATGACTATGATTATAAAGCATTCAAAACCTTCAATCCTAACGCACCAGACACGTTTGGGCAATGATGAAATTGTTATGGCGATAGCTCCTGAGACAAAGGAGCTACTTTATTATGAGGATAAGGCAGATAACTCACACCTGTGTGTGACAATTGATAAGGATATACTGGCCAATAATCCTACTCTCCAGTTGCATAATAACATGGAGGTCTGCCTTCAAACTTGTTAATTAAACAACAGATATATGTTTTTCTCCAAGCTCATTTTTTGCTATATTATTAAGGCCATGATTCACCAGTACTTCAAATCTTGTTTTATCGATCTTAGTAAATTCCCCCTTTTGCTGTCAGGATTGCTATATTGATATCTGCTCGCCAGAAGTCCTTAGTCTTTTCACCGATAACTTTGACTATCAACATCTCCGACGTCATTTTGTAAAGGGTTTACTAGTTGACGATGTAAGTCCGTTCACCACCAGTTGACCTATGTAAGACAAGAAAACATGATGCTTATTTTTAGTGCAGTATCTTGAGTGCCATCTCTCTTATCATGTCTCTTTTGTAACAATCAAATGGCATGCCAATCCTTTCAGATTATGGGATACAAAATCTATACTCATGAAATACGCTCCAGCTATGCTGCAAGAATAGATAATTTCAGGAGCTATGATGCGGTGAGCAAAGATATAATACAAAGATGGACATACCCTATGGTGCCTGATGTGTTATCTTTTGGTAACTGTCATGAAATGAAACTTCACCGCCAAGGAATTTACAAGGCATCAGGTACGCGTAGTTGCGACTGAAACGAGCCACAAAGATTTATTTATGTACCTTGTTTGATATCGTTCCTTGATTCATTCCTCAAAATCTAGATGAATTTATCAAATCAATATGTTTAATTTGGAATGAAAAAAGATATTAGTTCATAATATCATGAAAATTCTCTGTTTAAGGTTCATGGGCTGTTTTAAACTGTGATTTTTGGGCATGAACTTTTACCTGTCATTCAGTAGGTCTATAGGTATGTCATCGTTGATTCCTGTAACTATATAACAGCACCTTTACATATGAACTGTTCACATTCATCAAATCTTTTCCAGATGTTACATTGTCGCATTCTGCACAAATTGGTGCGAATTCTGTTATTGGCAATGCGACAAGTATTGGAGAGCAGTGCAAGATATCAAATTCGGTAATTGGGGAAGGTTGCAGTATTGGTAAAAACGTTCTCATTCATGGTTCCTATATATGGGATAATGTCATAATTGAAGATGGGTGCAAAGTGAGTAACTCCTTAATCTGTGATGATGTTCATCTAAAGGCAGGGGCAATTGTTGAGCCTGGCTGCATATTGTCATTTAAGGTATGTTGCTATATATTACATCTCTGTGCTATCCACTTCTCCTTTAGGAACAGGCTATAAACCAGTTGCAATTTTCTATTCAGCAGCATTGCAGATATTGATTAAATTCTTATTTGTACCATTTCAGATTAAAGTTGGAAAGAATGTTGTTGTCCCTGCCTATTCAAAAGTGTCACTACTTAACAAGCCTTCAAATGAAGATAGTGACGAGGAACTTGAGTATGCTGACACTAATTCTGGAATTACAGATAGTCCACGTAAGTCTGCATACCCTAAAATTTCTGTTCTTGATCATACATGCATTTTCAATTTATTTTTATGATGATTTGAATGTATCACTCATGTTTTACTTAGCAAATTGGCTTTCTATATTGCAGCCTTTTCCATCTCAAAGAGTAATGCCGACCACCCAACCATCATATGTGAAGATGATGACTTAGGGGCATCTGAGGTATTCTTCTATTCTTAGTTGGTGCAGTGATTTCTGTAATCCATGCTTGCGTTACTGTGGTTGTCAGGATTATTATATCCAGGCACCCTGGTGATACATTTATCATGTCTTGATTTATAATCATTGTGGTTGCTGTCTATGATATTGCTTAGACTGGTACCTCTGGCGTCCTTGGTTACATATGGGCAAGTGGTGATACTGGAATTCAGGACGAGTGGAGACAATCAATTGCTCCGATTCCTAAAGAAAAGCTTCAAGAGTTGCAGCATGCTGTATCTTTTGATGATGACGAAGGATCAGAAGAAGACTCGAACAACCGTCCATCTGAAGCAGACCGTGACAATGATTCTGAGATCAGTGTGGTTGAGGATGATGATTATACTAAGTTTGAGAAAGAAGTTAGTAGCATATACTTGGGATTCTCATACTCTTTTTGTCTTCACTTTGCTGATTGGTTTACCCTACTTAGGTCGAAGAGACGTTCCAGCGGGCACTTGATGGGGTTCATCAAGATAATTTGATACTAGAAATCAATGCGCTCAGGTATAAACTCTTTTCTGCACAACAGACATATTTGTGAATGCCTACTAAATGTAAACAACTACGACACATATAAGTCAGTCACCCTAAGTATGGTTTGACCTGGACAACATATTACTTATGGGTAACGCGCTATAGTTCTCATTTTCTTTTTGAGACAGTAATGATATGCTGCAAGCAGATGACATTGCAGTTTTGCTGCAAAGGACATTTTGTTTTGTGAAAAAGAATTAAAATATACTCCCCCTGTAAAGAAATATAAGAGCGTTTAGATCACTAAAGTAGTGATCTAAACACTCTTATGTTTCTTTACAGAGGGAGTACTACATATCAAGAATTCAAGATGAGATTCAATCACTTCTTTTCATATGGAACATTGAACTAGCTGGAAGTAATATTCCATATACAATTTATTCTGCAGAAATATTGCAGCCATGATTTTCACACCGTGTAAAACCACAAACTGTTTTTGCTGGTAATGTTCATTAAGCATCTGAATTTGGATTAACACTTTGTTTCCCAAGCACTAGCTTTGCTTGTATAGAGTATGGAAGTTATTTGCGGTGTCTTGTTCTAATTTTACGGTCTGTCGATAATTAACTAGTATCTTTGATTTCTGTCCAGATGATCTTCTTAGTTGTATAGAATGTTTTGTTTAATCCTTCACATCACTGATAGAGTATGCCCATTCTTTATTTTGTCTAGTTTTTATAGTCATAATGCTGATTGTGTTTGCAAATTTGTGCTTATTTTTCAGGTTATCTTATAGCCTTCAACATGCTGATTGTGCTGGAGCAGTTTTCTATTCGATCATGAGGGGTGCATTAGTGGCTGCACAATCTACTAATGGTATGATTTCTAGGGATGCTTCACAGTTTTATGAACCATGATGCATGTCAAATTGGGATAATGATTTGATCATTAGCTACGACATTTGGTCATTTAACCGTAAGAGTAAAGAACCAGTTCACAGAGGAGCTTAGTGTGGTTATGCAGGAAGTCCATAGGATTTTGCATAAAACATTACATTTCCTCTATTGCAAAGTCCAAGCATGAAAGTTTCATCCCAACTGTGGAACTTTGTGGTCATGCACTTTTTGATATGGGATGCTTTTTTCCTATAGCTGTTAGATCTCATGATGAAAGGTAATAAAAGCTTATTTGTCCTGCTCCCCCCTCTTTATATAGATAATCTTCTAAAGACAACTGCCGACGCACTTGCCAAGTGGAAGGATCTTTTACGCAATTACACCAAGACAGTTGATGAGGAGGTATGGCTTGAGGATATACTGGATAAATACCTTGAAGTCTGCATGAGTAACATCTGCTTGAAAATTCAAAAATACCATCAGGTTTATTGATTTAAAAATGGTATTGCGTCAAGTGTGTTCGTTGTCAGGTTTAATCATGTCAGTTATCTTCCATATCGAGTCAGCATAGGTTCCTTTATCAGCCATTCGAGCATATGCAAATTATATAACTGAAGCAATCGTTTATATAATTATTTGACCTGATGACATGTTGATCTGCACAATGTGCATATAGTATGGTGATTTTGAGATAGCTCACCGCCCTTGCCATGTGGTTGCATATAGTATGGTGGTTGTGGTGATTAGACTTCCAAATTGTTGTGTTGGTGCACGGCAGACTCTTGGAGGGGCCTCTGATGTGGTTGTCAAGTTTTATGTTCAGTTTGAAAACAGGGTTTTCCCATGGATTTCTATGACTTATGAGTTGTTTTTGTCTTTTGTATTTGACATGGGCTAAATGCATTATTTTGTGATGGTGATATAGATGGAAATACTATTGAAGTTTGAGGAAATGTGCCAAGATATCACAAAAGAATTTGCTCCACTGTTCTCAAAGGTAAAGAACTATTTGATTTCGATTACAGATAAGTTCCGTGCCATTTATATTTTTTTTGGAAGAACATATGTAGTTTTGTTTGCACTGCTGGGTTGACGTAGACTGTTTGAGAATTGATGATCTTGTTTTTGTTGGTTTTGATAATATTGTATTGAACGCAGATCTTGCCTTACCTCTATGATAAGGACGTAGTCAGTGAAGATGCAATTTTGAGATGGGCGGAAGAAAAAGAAAATGCCGACGAGTCTGATAAAGTTTTTGTTAAACAGTCTGATGCTTTTATTAAGGTATATTCACTGTACTAAGCTGAGTTCTCCTTTTCCATATCGCGTAAGATTTACCTGGCCTGTTTATGCCTTTCTATTTCTGTAGTTTTTCATGATCTCAAACCTTCCATCAGAGGGAATGATTCAAACCGCATGTCTTGTATTTATAATATCTCCTGGCATGATGGTGGTTGTATTTCCGGCACTGGGTTTGTGCCATCTGTTGTGCTGGCAGAACAAAGTCTCAAACATGATGATGTCTTGTGAAAACTAAATCCCACTGAGATGTTCGCTTGTCTTGAGCATACTAACTTGTCACCCATTTTCCTTGGCAGTGGCTCAAGGAAGCTGAAGAGGAGGAAGACGACGAGGACGACGACGAAGAAGAGTAGAGTCGGAGAGGAGCGCAGCGTTGTGCAACTTGGGTGGTTTCCCGGTGAGTTTGCGCCCGGGAAGTTTTGGAAGCTCGATTTGTTTGTACAACATAATTCCAGTTTTGTTCCTAACCAATCGGAGGGCAAAAGAAGAGAGGTGGGAGAGAAACATTTGATCGTGAGGCGCGGGGCGAACAACACATGGACCCGCAGAGTGTAGATATGTTACATAACCCTCCCCGACTCTCCGTTCGTGCATGCTTTGATTGGCTGGTGCTTCCATGAAAGAAAGCCTGCTTGTTTTACTTGATGTCCATCCATGTGTTCCCCTTTGCACCCAGCCAGCACTGACTCGCGCAGGCAAGCAAAATCTTTGGCAAAGGCTTCACTAAGATATGGATTCTTCTTTTATCTTTCCGCTGAGGAGATGGATGGATGGATGGATCGATTGTGTAGTGGGGAGGAAAGGAAAGCAGCGGAAGCTGGGGGGAGTGAGTCCCCTGGCGCAAAAGGCGGCAAAGGGATCATGTGGATTGCGTAGATCCGCCACTAATCTTACCTCAAAAGGGCCACGGTTTGTGTTAAAGCACGCTGTTTTTTCCTTTCTTTGCTCGTCGGATCCCCTAAAGGCTCCCGGCCTATCGTGCTTTGTTTCAGCCAACTGAACGGGCCGAAGCAAAACGAGAAAAAACGCCCTTGGGGCCCCAAGGGGGAAAGGAAAGCCCCTGTTCCGGGAGCGGATGAGCAGGGACTGCGCTAAGCAAACTCTCTGCGCATTGCTCTCCTCTGTCTTCTGCATGTGCACTCCTAATTTTATCCAGTTCCTTTATACTCCCTCAGTTCCTAAATATAATACTTTCTAGAGATTTCAATATGGACTAGGAGCAAAATAAGTGAATCTACACTCTAAATATGTCTATATATATCTGTATGTGGTTCGTATTAAAATCTCTAAAAAGGCTTCTATTTAGAAACGGAGGGAGCGTATTTTTTGTATATAAAATTTTAAGTGGACATGCTGTTTAGTTTTTGAGATGGTTACTTTGATGGAGAGAAGCTTCCGGCAGTGCCCGTACGTCTCTGTTAGGCTCGTCTCGCCACCTAACGTATAAGATGACTTGACCATGTTTATTCGCGAATCAGGGTGGGCGTCAGCTTGAGAACATTGCTGACTCGACGGTATTGACCTTTCCCCTGGCACGTAGAACCGAGCATTTCCCTTTTGATTGAAGAGCACGTGCTCGTTTAAAACCACCCGGAATGTTCCCGACTTGTAAAATACTTACAAGGATGTGACATTTGGCACTGCTATTTTTCATTTAAAATTGTGATTATTAGTGTCTCGCACATACTTCATTTTATTTTATTATCATCTTAAATTATCATTACCAATTCTTCCATCCCAAAATGTAAGTAAAATTTTATTATTTTGTCAAAAAGCCATCTATATATAATGCCAGTAGTACAAAGAAACCCATCAACAATAAGCCTTTAGTCCAAACAAGCTCTGCCATGATTGAAGATGAATAGATCAGAAATTTCCTTGCAAAAAAAAAAGCTGGGGTAGGCTAAAGATGAAATCCATAAGATCTCGCCACCACCTAGTGCAAAGAAACCTATAAAATAAAGAAATTACACTGAAATCGCTGTGGGCTGATCTTCTTCCTCTCAAACAGATTGATGTCACATTGCCGGACACCGCTCCAACGCCAGAGCCAACTTAACATTGTTGATCATGAGCGGGAAGTCATCAAGGCCATGATCCCATCAGATCATTGTATCGATGAAGAAGTTGTCACAACCGAAAGAGCCACATGTCCAAGAGCCTGACCTCTCAATAATCAATAAATCTCGCAAGCCTCACGCCGGCATAGGTGATAGGTGGACGCATCAACTTAGTGGAGATGCGGCCGAAGGACCCCAGTGTAGGAAGCCGCCACGCCGACAAATCCTGCAAACCCTAGTCTCACTATCCAGAACGTACGACAGGAGTCTACGCCCAGTAATCATCCACAAACAACACCATCGAGATGGGAAGGCTCTAGGAAATAGAACAAGTCTAATTTATTTTACTTTCTTGTCAAACTGACTATAAGTTTGGTCAGGCTTTAAAAAAAATCCATCTAAAGGCAGAGGCTTAGTGCCTGTAGTCGTCTACGAATCTGAATGTAATTTTTATTATTAGTGTTTGTTGCACTGTCATGATTGATGATGAACAGATTGAAAGTTTTCCCGCGAAAAAAGAAAAGAAAAAAGAAAATTGCATTCACAATGCTCCTTCTTGAAGTTCTCACGTTTTTTCGAGTAACACACATCAAAAGAGAGAGTATGCACTAGGCCGCGCGTGGCGTTGGATGACGTCTGATAGTGGCTGCATGCATGGGTGCAAGATCGATCGTGCTAGCGATAAGCCGTGTCACTCACCAGCCTGTCGACCAGAAAGAGATCGAAAAGCCTTGGGGGGACGACGGAGTACGTGCGGGGCACACCACGCCGGATCTCCCGCTGGAACACCACCACCCCTTTACGTTTTAACAAACCCTGATCCGAGTCAGCAAAGCTCCCCTAGCCATAGCTAAGCTAACTTCCGACCGAGCTCGAGCCACTCACTGTGCCGCCCCGCCGTGAGCCTTAGCCCTTAAGCTTCTCTCTCCACCCTCCCCGGCATGGCTATATAACACCACCCGCCGCGCGCCGCCATTTCCCAATCCATCCATCGAATCCACGTGCTCCATCGCGTCGTACGTCAGTTGAGGAAGCTTCTGTGGGCCAGCGCGCGTGCTTTGTGGTTGCATATTTGCGTATATGGACTGTGCGGCGGCGGCGGCGGCGATCTACCGGCTGCCGGAGGAGTGCGTGGCGCACGCGATCGCGATGACGACGCCGGGGGACGCGCTCAGCTCCTCGGCCGTGTCCCCGGCGTTCCGGGCCGCGGCCGACTCCGACGCCGTCTGGGACTGCTTCCTGCCGCGCGACCATGCCGCCGTGCTCACCCGCGCCGACGACGATGACTGCCGCGAGTGCTCCATGTCCAAGAAGGAGCTGTTCACGTGCCTCTGCAGCCGCCCGGTCCTCCTCGACGGCGCCACCATGGTATACTCACATTGTTGGTAACTTGGTAATCGTTAGTGGAGGTGGAGGTGAGTAAAGTTGCTAGTTGCTGATCGATCGGTATTGGTATGGGGTGCACGTGCAGAGCTTCGGGCTGGACAGGCGGAGCGGCGCCAAATGCTGGATGCTGTCGGCGAGGGCGCTGAGCATCGTGTGGGCCGACGACCCCTCCTGCTGGACGTGGACTGCCGACCTTCCCGGATCACGGTACGAACATGCAGAGATATAGCTGCATTGCTTCTCGATCGCTGTGTACGTACGTGTTCATGTACGTGGCAGATGGCACTAGGTTTTTCTTTTTCTTTGAGGATCTCAGATGGCACTAGGTATCTAAGTTGACTAGCTACAAAATAGGAACACCATGCACGGCTACCACCGCCAAGTAAGTTAGGAAAAATGGTGCATGCTTTGAACGATAAGCTTGAACAAAGGTTGTCACTTTGTAGAAAAGGTCTGTCTAGGACACATCTAGATGTGACATAGTTATGTCACATCTAAGCTAATTTTCATTCTGTTTGTGGTCTATTTTTTTGTCCTAATTTTTTTTGTTTCTTGTTGCTTCATTATATATTTGTGGGAGGTTAGATGTGACATCCTTAAAAAACATCTAGATATGAATTAAACAAACTGTTATAGAAAACATACTAGAGGATAGAGTATAAAATTCCATGGGAATAGATGCAAGAGCACACACTAGTCGAAAGTTACTTGGCTCCTAAGTACCGCGTCGATCGGGTGCCACTACCAACCAAGCAAATAAAATAAGGAATCATTTATATAGTTTATCAAATGCGAGTAGGGCGTTTTGGTGACCGAGCTCCATGAAGCCCTTTATTTTTGAAAAATTCAAAATTTAAACTTTTTGACTTCAAAAAATTCTGAAAATAAATATGCAACTATACACAGATGAGATGTATGTGTGTGTAAAAATTCAAGATGAAATACTTCATAATGTGACCTATAGAAAAAAGATAAATTTCTGGACTTTGAGGATGAATAGTAACATGTGTTAAAAAGCCTCAGATTTGTTTTTTTTGCACAGCCTTCATTTCAACGTATTTCGTCCTAAAAATTTACACACATGTGTGTTATGCCTCCATATATATCTGTAATTTTTTTAAAATTTTTTTGAATTATAAAAATATGATTTTTCATGAATTTTATTGTTTTCAAAAACCGGCCTCCATGGAGGCCGAGCTCCAAAAGGCATTTTCGATCAAACGCATGCAAGTGTGTTTTTGTTGACCGAATAAAACCTAAGAGAGAACAATTCTTCTCACGCCTTATAACGTGCTCCGAGCCTCTGACGCGTGCCCTGTCTTCTTGTTCTGTTCAGACACGGCATCCTCTTACGAAACTGTCTTCCTACACACGTGTCGACACGTACCAGCTTGCATGCATGCACGTACTCCTACCTGCATGCATGTTCGTTCCTACGTGTTCATGCTATTGAATATTGATTGGTACACGTATCTGATCATGTCCGACCCCTTCGTGTATTTCTAGGTTTCCTGAGGTGGCCGAGCTTGTGGACGTGTGCTGGCTGGAGATCACGGGGAAGCTACAGCTCTCCCTGCTCACCCCACAGACCACCTACGCAGCCTACCTCGTCTACGCCATCGCCGACGACTCCTACGGCCTCGAGTGCAACATTGGCATCCTGCCACCCAAGGGCACGGTCACCGTCGTCGTCTCCGGCAGCGGTACCAAGCCGACATTGACCGCGGTGTCCACGTCGACAGAGAACACTATCTGCCTGCAGCACATGCAGGGGGAGGAGGAGACGGCGATGCACCGACGGAGGCAGGAGTACGTGCGGCCACGGAAGAACTACGGGTGGAAGCTGGTCAGGGAGGCCGACATGGACATCAGGTGCCCGCGGCGGAGAGGGGACGACGGGTGGACGGAGGTCGAGCTGGGCGAGTTCGCCGTGGACGACGAGGAGGACGGGGTGGTGGAGGTGAGCCTCAAGGAGGTGGAATGCCGGCGGTGGAAGAGAGGGCTCATCGTGCAGGGCATCGAGATAAGGCCCAAGCACACGAACTAATTAACCGATTGGTTTGCTTCGGGGAAAAAGTGCGTGCTGATGCTGAAATGATATATTAGTGCAGGAACTAATGCTGAAATGATCGACGGATCATGCATACACCCGTCTTTACGTGGTTGCATGCAAGGGCAGAGCATGAGTGTATGCATGCATGCAAGAAGCATATATGTGTGCCGGATTAAGGCACATGCATGTGGACATGTGTTGATGCATGGGGCCGGGGCAGTAGAGTTGTTGCCGTAGCCTGCAAAATTTAAGCAATTCATCCTTTTTGTTGATCACTGAACAAATTATTTAGAAATGGTTCACGTATTGATATTATTGATAAGGTACATATTGTTCTCCTTCCACGCTCTCGTTTCACTTTATAGATAAAGCACAAATCCAAATATACGGCAGACCGAGTACAAGGTAGTCCGTAAGCCTGCACTTGATCGATCACATGCATGTCCCTCTCTTCTATCTCTCCTCCCAACCACACGTGCATGGTCTCCCTCTTCTCTCTCTCCTCCCAACCGGACAAATATCCCATCACATGCATGATCCTCACCTACTTTTTCTCCCCCAAGCCGGATACTTTATAATTAGCGTTGGATGGCTCCTTCCCGTTTCATGTTTGGGGACCACAGCCGAACATAAAAACGGACATATACCAGAGGAATTTGCGGGTCAGCGTTGGAGATGCCCTTACAAATCAAATCCTAGGATAGCCGGGCAATGAAAATCACAATGGAAAATACCAAAGGTAAAAACAAAAAACAACTACGATGCTGAAAAATAGCATAGGAGGGCCTCACGAAACATCACAATCCGCCCTACGGCACATAAGCTCCACGATAAGTCCCCCAGGAAGGAAAACAATGCAAAGCATCGCCGCTGTCGAGTCCGAGGTAGAAAAGGGTTTTCACCCTGAGCCCTGGTACAAAGAGGAGAACCACAACGATGTCATCAAGAGGAGAGCGGCACCGGCGGGCGACGCTGTCATTGGTGCCGAAGCACGAAATTTTATCTCGGCAGTTCATTTGTACCACCACAAGGCACATAGGACATTCGTGACGAGTGCAGACCTCCAGATCCAGGCACTGCCACCGCCAAAGGAGGATGACACACTCGAGCCTCTCACCACTACAGACCTCGCCGCCGACACGAGCAAGGAACATAGCCACCACCACCACCATGAGGCCCGCCGAAGAGCCAACCATGCTGGGGACCGCCACTCGGGGCCATCGCCCCGACATCTGAGGCCCCAACTCCAACCCACCCTAAACATGCAACAACCGCACAGTGAATGAACATGCCAAAATGTCCCTCCTACCCTACCCCTGGGCAGCCCCCCAAGCCATGTTTGAGCCCTAGACACAAGCAAATAAAGGACACTCTGCCCCAACCTGCCCCGGTTGGCATAGGGCGAGCCCATGACAAGCAGGGGATGGACTGGATCCACGACCCGATGGGGGCAGATCCACTACCCTTGGCGGCAATCCAAACATGGGAGGTGGCTAGCCTGATGACCTCGACACATATTAAATATTGTTCATTGTGCACATTGAAAATTCATGATGCACGGCACAGAACATTTTTTGTACCTGTGAACACTATTCTTCATTACATGAACATTTCTGAAATATATGGTGAAATTTCTTATAATACATAATAAACATTTTTGAATTTTTAAATGCACGATGAACTTAATACCTGATGAACATTTTTGAAAATTCAGAAACACTCTATAATTACATGAAAAAATTAATACATGATGAACACTTTCTAAATACATGAGAATTTTTTAGTTGCACTATTTTTTTCAATAAACCATTTAATTTTTTAAATTACACAATGAACAGTTCTTTAATATGCGTTGAACATTTAAAAAAGAAAATACAAAGTTATACTAAAGCAACAACAGTTAATATGGATTGGACTTGGAGAGAGGTACATTATCTCCACCATGTTTACTATCGGGACCTTCTAGAGAAAAGGGAACAACTGTCGGAACATGTATTTTTTTCCTTCGACTGAAACTATCTGTGCCGTGCGTTGCGTCGTGGGCCAGGCCCAACACTGGATGTTTTGTAGAGGAGACCCTAGACGCACCCTAAGCCCAGAGTAGCACTAATATCTTGTTCAGAAATGACTGAAAACCAGTCACGATCATGATCGTTTACGTAGCACGTACGCTTAGTACCTATCGGGACCTTCTAGATAAATTCAAGCTTGAAAGCATCCCAAAGCTTGAAAGCCATGGCCAAGTAATTAACCGAGGCACGTGTAGCTGTCGGCTGGGGAAGTATCCACATCCATAGACACGGCGGCCTGTGAGATCGACCGCCTGCCGGAGGAGCTCCTGGTGCGCGTGATCTCGCTCACGTCACCGGTCGGCGCGCCAACTGCGCAGCCGCCGTCTCCCGGGCCTTCCGCATGGCCGCTGACACCGACACCGTCTGGTCCTGCTTCGTGCCACGCGAGCTTCCGCGGTTCGCCAAGAGGGAGATCTCCCCGGCGCCGGCGTCCAAGAAGGCGCTCTTCAAGCGCCTCTCCTGCCTACCCGCCTTTCTCCCACGGAAGCTCATGGTATTATTCACCCCCATTATCCTGCTTTGTAAACTATAATGTTTTCCTTTGAAAAAAAGGTTGAAACTCTCGGCCTCTGCATCATTCCGATAAACACATTCATTTTAAAACTTCTATATAACTATGTTTTTTCTCAACGAATATATGTTTTTGTACTTGTGGTGCAGCACATGAGGCTGGACAAGGCTACCGGCGCTAAGTGCTTCATGCTTTCTGCCGAGATACTGCAGATCACCAAGCACCAAGGCTACGTATGGGATTGGACTCCTCTTGGTTTTGATCGCAATGCGTGCCACATTGGCAAAAGGCAGTGGCGTAGCCAGCCCAATTTGCCAGGGTGGTTCGGTAATAAAAATATATACACAAATTATGTTTATTTTAAAAGAATTTTTTTACTACACTATACACAAAAGCTATGGGGTATTTCCAGGGTGGTCCTGGCCACCCCCTAGCTACGCCACCGGCAAAAGGTTAAAGCCATTTCCATGTAGCGAATTCGGTCTAGCGCCGCTTAACAATTGTCTTGATAGTTATATCATATACTTATGAATCTTATGTATTATATTTGTCTAATCAAAATTCTTTATTAGATTCCAACATGTCGCGACGTTTAGAAATTGTGGCAAGATACACTGCAAGATGCTCTCGCAAAAGGTGATGTACGCCGCTTACATGGTGTTCAAGCTAGGACCCACTTCGTTTTATGGGATAGACTATCCATTCCAGGAGGCGTCGATTAGCGTTGGAGGACGTGGATCAACCTCGATAGTTTGCCTCCAAAGCTGCATGGAGGATGAAGGCGATGGGGGTGAGTCACCTCGGATACATGTCTTGGAATCACCAGACCGTGCACATAGAGTAGTACGGTGTCCACGGGTAATTACTCTTGGAGAGGATATGGTACTCCCTCGGAAAAGGGCCGACGACTGGATGGAAGTGGAGCTGGGTGAGTTCTACAACGAGGAAGGCTACGATGAGGATGTATCTGTCAGTTTAACGGAGACAACTGTGACCAAGAAGTATGGTCTTATTGTGATGGGCGTGGAGTTTAGAAATAGGTTACAAAAGCCAACGGGGTTGTAGGGGATCAGTAAAAAAATCTTGGAGCTAAGAAAAGATATCATTTCTGTAGTTTTGGTAACATTACTTAATGAGGCCGAGACCACTAGGCATTATATAGGAAGCACTATGAAGTGGGATAACTGCTAGCACATGTTTTATCCTGAAAATATGTCTAATGTCAAGCCGGTTTGTACCGTGTACATAGCTGAAAAGAAGGATAAAGGAAATATAATAATGCAAATATCTTGAATGAAATGTAGGATAACATTTCAACTTGGCAGGAAAATTTTGAGCTTGTTCAGGCAACGGCCAGGCCCTGCGTTGGGCACTTATTAAACTCTCCGACTCTGCCATGGTCTAAGCTTCCTGCATATGAGTACAATTTCCGAATGATCAAATCACGCGACGAGAACATTGGGGAGTAGAGAGATCGATCGAGAGCCGCGCGTGATCGAGACACTAACCACTTGCGAGATGAAGCTCCTGGTCCACATGGTCTCACACTCTCACTCCCCTCATTAGCCGCCATCCTCCAAATCTTTTTCCTCTCCCCCCAAGGCCCCAACCGACATGTCGTCTTGGATGGCGAAAAACTGAGTGGTGCATGGTCCAGGGTGAAATAGCCCACTTATCCCTCCAACGGGTTTAATTCACTTGGGCCTTCACCCTTTTTTTCTTCTGTTAACTACTCCTTCTTTTACTTGTTTACCATGACTAGGTGGTCAGATTTGTAGTGACTTGCATATGAGTAGAATATTTGTCCAAAACAACTTTTGTGAAGATCATATTGAACTAAGGCTTACCCTATGTCTCTACTCTTGCCTAGTTATTCAGGTGTGTGGATAACACTAACGTCAGTGGTCAATATTGAATTACATGAACTAGCCAGCTTATCCAAATGTCTAAACTAATGGGCAAGAGCGAGCAATATATTACAACACTTTCTCTCATGCCTAAGCTGCTCAAAGCCGTAGACGTGGGATCATTGTAGGTTGCAACTACATTTTATTAAATAATGCATTAGCCGGGTCTTAAAATCGAGACATCTTAGCATTCATATCATATTGAGTTACATGCTCTAGCTAGTTCATTCAAATGTCTGAACTTATAAAAAGAGTGAGCAATATATTTTAAGAGTCAAAAGACTATATGCTCTGGGTAACTCTTCTGAAGGAAAGTATGTACGTGCAAATCCTACAAGTGGGCATCTTTGGCATGAATCAGCACTATGAACAACTTAAAAAGACTCATCTCCCTTGACTGGCTGTGCATCCTCCATGTATTTCAAAAAGAAGGTGATTGCAACTCTAGATATGCTTATCAATTGTCTTACGCATTGTAAATTATCGATTTACAGAAATCCGTGCACTTTTCCTAGCCATTCCACCTTGCAAGATACTCCCTCCGGTCCTTTTTACTCTGCACATTGGTTTTGCCGAAAGTCAAACTTTGCTAAGTTTGACCAAATTTATATTAAAAATTATTAGCACCTATACTATCTAATAAATATAATATGAAAATATATTCCAAGATGAATCTAAAGATATTGGTGTTGTTATGTGAATGTTTATAATTTTTTATATAAATTTGGTCAAAGTTGAATGAGATTGACTTCGGACAAACCTAATATGCAGAGTAAAAAGGACCGGAGGGAGTACACCAAAGGTTGACTCTTATGACTGATAACGTTTTGTGTGCTACAAATGTTGAATAATCGCAGCCAAACACATGCCGGCTTGCTTGTTCTTTTAGGGAAACTTCAACGGGCCAACCCAAACATATACAAATTTTATCTTGTGCATTGTAAATTATTGATTTATAGAAATCCGGGCACTTTTCCTAGCCATTCCAGCTTACAAGATACACCAAAGGTTGACTCTTACGACTGATAACATTTTGTGTGCTACAAATGTTGAACAATCGCAGCCAAACACATGCCGGCTTGCTTGTTCTTTTAGGGCAATTCCAACGGGCCAACCCAAACATATACAAATTTTGTCCACCTTTTGTCCGTTTAGGTGGTCAGGCGGACAGCAAATGTCTGCCCATTTCTTTTTCTTTTTTCATTTTTTAAAAAATATTTAGGCCGCCAAAGTCACTTACATGAATTAAATTAAGAAAACACAACTAGAAATTAAATAAACACTAGATCTAACTAGGGTAGCCGCCGGAGCACGCGCGCGCGGTGGCGCTGGAGCCTACTACCCATCCTTTTCATCGATGAGGTCGATAAAGGTTGGAGGCGACCATGGCCACGTAGTGTGGGTGGTGGTGGTGGCCCTACCGCCGGTGCGCGCGGTGTCATAGATGGTGCCTCCTGCTTCTTGTCTGCGGGCTCCTCCTCTGGCTCTGGCGTCGCTGGCAACGTGGAAGTCCATGTCCACCTCTGCCCCAATAGTGGTAGTAGTGGCCACGGCTCCAGCTCCAGCTCCAAAGTGGGGACGGGAACGGTGGCACTCATCACCGATGCGTGGAGCGCTAGGGGTAAGGTCGGGCCAGAGCGCGAGCTCATCCAACATGGAGGCCTCGAGGGACTGCTTGGGCGCGTTGTCCTCGGCCTCCTCCTCCTTCATCATAGGAAGCCATGACTTCTTGAGCATTGGAGAACTAGCGTGAGGTGGCGTTGGACCATGCGCATGTGCGAAACACGAGTGGCAGCGCTGGTCATGCTCACCGGCGAACCATGTCTCCTAGTAGGGGGACTCCTCGGCAAAAATCAGATCATTGAGGAGGTCGCCCGGAAGTACTGGCGGTGGATCTCTGCCACCCGTGCATGACCAGAGGCCGGAATGGCTGGTACAGGAACCCTTTCTGGGTTCAAGTGCCAGCCGTTCAGTAGGTGCACATCGGGCAGGGCACTAGGATGGCCGCCTCCAAGTACATGCGGTCCAGCCACGGCAACAGAGCCCTCGGCGGCGTCAAGGTGAACGAGGCCGTGTAGCGCCGCCCTGAGGAGGAGCCGACCTCGTGGTCGTGCTCCCTTGGAGTCCACTTCCACAACATCGCGACAGTGGTGGGCTAGGGTTACTGTTGGCTGGGTGGGGGGTGGGGGGCAGAGTGGGTGCCTTCACGTGCGACATTTAAAAGTACTAGGATGGACATCAAGTGGACGTGCGATGCGTCTGTCTCCTATCCATGAGGACGCAAACCAAAAGTCAAATTTGGGCTGGAAATGAGACCACGTTGACACGAAACATGAAATGAGTCGCCACGTTGGGCCGTGGTTTCTATCCACGCGCTCAAAAACAGACATGAGCGGATGAAATGCATTGGAGTTACCCATAGAGTAGACTTTTGTTGTTGTTTAGTCTCACGAAGAACAAATCTTGGGAAATCTACCTAGTTATAGATTTGTTGACAAGGTAGCAAATGTAATCATGGATTTTTTGAGGTTTCAGGGTAAGATTTGGCGAATGTGGTTGTAGATGCTCTTATGCTTTGGACACTGTACAGATGCAGGGGTTATATATACGCGCACACACATACTCTATCCCTACGAGTACCTCTGAGAGCCGGCATAAAAAATCCTGAAATAAGTTCAAGAAAATGAGAACATCGGGACTTAACCTGGTGGGCTGAAAATACCACTGCCCTTCTAACTATACAACCACATGTTGGTTCACAAATGTCATGGAATGTTTGAAATGTAATATGGTATACACATAAAGAAATCAGTGACACACTACTAATAAAATGTAACATATAATACGTGAAACAGAAACAATTTTGTATTATTTCAAAGACAAACAAATGCAACAACATACACATGAACAAATCAACTACACGCTACAGCTCGCTTGAGTATCATTTATTTAGTAATGATACAGACGAATTTTTGTTGAGAAACTGATACAGAGTTGCCGAGAGCGAACCCACCCTACATGAACTTGGCCTTGATAGCGTCCACCTGCCCGTTGTCGATCCGGAAGGCCTTGGCCAGCACATCGCTAGGCACTGGCGGCGCGGCAGCGAAGAGCGTGGTGGCGATGACTTGTGTGCCCTGGAGCTGGCTGTTGAAGCCGGCGATGACGGAGGCGGGGCCACGTCCCCTATTCTGCTGGAAGTGCACGAGCCCACGCGGGAAGACGAACACGTCTCCGACGGTTACGGTCTTAGTGAAGAGCTTGTTGGCGGTGGTGATGAAGCCCACCTCGAGGACTCCTTGGGTAACGAAGATGATCTCGGTGGCGCGCGGGTGGGTATGCGGCGGGTTCTGGCCTCCCGGCGCATAGTCGATGCGTGCCATGGACACGCTAAGCGTGTTCACCCCAGGGAATGACTGTACATTCGCCGCCGTGACGTTTGACCCTGCCGCATTGTTGGTGTTTCCAGCCCTCTTGAGACCGGCGAAGAAGAAGTCGTCCCCGGAACCCGTTCAGCTTGATCGCTGCCGCCATTCATTTTGAGGAAAACACCGCATCAGCAAGAACCGGCACAAAACATGCAAGAACGAACTTGAGAAAGATGATGACTCACGGGATGCCAAGTCGGCGACGCAGACGTCCTGGAGCATGTCGGCGTCCCCGGCCAGGGAGGGGGCAACGAGCGCGAGGAGGACTACAGCGGAAAGCTGAAGCATCGCCATGATCGCTTGGCCAATGCTGTCTTGCTATCAGCTTGGTGGTGTAGTTGTGAGAGTGCTTCTTGGGTGTGGAAATTAGCAACGGTAGGAGCTGGTACTTATAGGCAGTGTGGTCTGTGTATTGAACTTTGGATAGCATCGCCATCTCAAGGTCGTAGGCTCGGATGGGGAGGGAAACACGCAAGTTTGGAGCCAATCGATCCTAGTAATATACTAGTTGTTTTTGCACTCCTTGCAGGCTAGTTCCTGCTGCACATGCGTTCTTGAATCGATCCATGCATGATCCATCCATTCGATCGGTGGTATATCCTGTTGGAGACAACAGACCCAAGTTTCTTGGGTCTCCATCGTCCTCGTGGGAGGAGTTGCACATGCTAGTTTATACCGTACTTAGACCTTATAGCTGTTATCAAGTTGAGCTTATTTCTTGGGGGTGACAAGCTGTTCATTTGGATCAGAGAGGAGTCATTTGGTCAATGACTCCATGAAATTATCCTTATTTTCCTGTGGCTTCTGACTTTTGCTGCTCGCGAGGCTGAGCTGGGACAGCTCTCGTACGGAGAAGAATAGAACCAACGGTGGTGGAATTGTCTGACCTAGTCTTCCAAGCTCATGTCATGAGACTGAGACCCCTTGTCAAAAAAAAGACCCCTAGTCTTCCACGTTCTAGTGTTGTGGAATCGATCAAGTTGATCTCCTTAAATACACAAACCGGGTGGCCGACGACCATCTGTAAAATTCACAAACCGGTTAAAAAGCCAAGCGACTTATGCTGACCAATCAGACGCAAACCCTGGCGGCTACAGAGCAAATCAATAGCTGGCCGGCCGTCTCTATCACTGATAATATGTGCTTGCTCGTGGACAAGGAAGGAGACACTCTCTGCCTTGTCCGAAAGCTCACCGCCGTCTAACTGTTGTCCTCTTCCGGTCGCAGTCGCAGCCAGTCTTTGCAGCCGGGAACTTGGCATTCTTATTTAGGGCCGGTGGCTTGAGATTATACAACGCGCGAGCATGGAGCATTATCTCGCTGAGCAGGCTTGCGGGTCTGCTGCTCCTTTTAGGTAAGTTACTGTTGGAAGCTAGCAAAGGTTGGCCGACGCAGGCTTGCTTTGCCATGGCACCATGCTAACACCCTTAGTTAACAAGTAATCCTAGTCCTACTTAAGGTTTCTCCTGTTTTGAATGGAACAAGGACATGTTGGGTTGGGGCAGGTTCAAATTACGCAACCTATCTACTCCCTCCGTTCCAAAATATAGCGCGTCCTCGGTTTCCGTGCTTCAACTTTGACCATTAATTTAATCAACAAGACCGACTGCGGCGGGCGAAAAAATTATACCAATGAATTCGTATTCAAAAAAAGTTTTTAATTATATAATTTTTGATCCCGCCGCAGTCGGTCTCGTGGGTTAAATTTATGGTCAAAGTTGAACCTCGAAAAGCGTGGGCGCGCTATATTTTGGAACGGAGGGAGTATTAGAAATTGCACGCGTGCAAAAAGGAAAAAAAGACACAAAGGGCTCACGAGTTAATTTTTCGGAAAGGTCTCTCTAGCTTTATATACGGAGTATATGTATGTGCTTCCAATGACTGTCTAAGATTTGGGGCTACAGCTTGATTCCCTTGAGTGGGCTCTTTGCGGCAACGCTGGCCTTGCTGATGTTGACCGTGTGTATTGATTTGCTCCTCGTATACATGGCAATGTCCTGTTGTGATGTCCACATTAGGGTTGTGAGTGTGTACGCGTATCGATGCAATATGCTCCAGCTTGCAGCAGGGACTTCTTCATCGAAAGTGGGGGTGGCAGTACAAAGATGAGTCAGGTTTTGTGATGCCTTCGAGCACAAGGTCTCGAACTCTAGAGTGAAAAATCTTGTCCTGATCTACGTTGATTTTACCCGTCAATGGTAGTGTTTCACATCATCTTCCTATTGGAGGCATTATCTAGAGTTTACTCGGACTCCCTCTTCGGGGTGAAAACCCATGATGTACTCTCGGTGGTGGTGGATGTAGCGATCATCGTTTCCCTCTTGCATACATTGTTGTTGAAGCACTTTTCCCGTAGTCTGGGTTCTG